TATTGAACTTCAAAATAGGAAAATGGATGATGTTTTTAAATATAAAGGTCAACAATTTATTTGTGTACATTATAATAAGCATTTAATTTTTATTAAGATTTAAGAAAATCTAAATTTTATGGTTAATTGCAGAACTTTTTTGGTTGACGAAACTTTTGATTATGCACAAAATAACTTTTTATAAGTGGACATCAAACATTGTTATCAAAATAGATACTATATTCCATTAGTTTTATTTTTCTTGGAAAATAAAGCTAAAAAATTTAAATCAACATATGGAACTATCTAAAGAATTTGTGCTTAATAACTACGTCTAAAGTTGTAGAAATTAAATAATTACATTTAAATTTTGAAATCAGCTCAAATGAAGCCCGAATTTGAAGCATTTCTTGGTGTTATGATATTTGAGTGCCGTTTTCCTTTAAATTAAGTTTATTGACGTAAAGTAAGACATTATATTAAATAAATGTAAATATTATTTTTTTTTTTTTTAATAGTTTATTTTTAGATAATTGAAGACGAAATTTAAAAAAATACATATAAAGACGACAATAGTAAATTAGTGAGTTTAGTAATAGGTTGAAAATGTTTTTTGGATTCCCATTTTTGCATCATTTAGAAGTGGAAGATGGTTTAATAGAGCTAGTGGAATTATGTCCATTAAGGTCATAGTTTCATAAGGTCAAAAGGTCATAGTTTTGCAGGTTATATTTTAAAAATATATGCATAGAACCAAATTGTTTATTTCTTCCAGATATGTGAGAAAAAGAACCATCTGAACATATACTAGGTAAATTATTATTAAAATGTTGAACATTTTAGAAAATATTCATGGTTTTTTTTTAGAACTACTAATGCCATAGAATGTTTTCTTCTAAGTTTTAACAGCCAACTTTATCGCATGAATTTACCTATCTTTGCGATTGCGATGATACAAACATTACTGGAAACTCGACAGAATCATTAAAACTTAATACTATTCAAAAGAGTACTGTTCAAAACATATCAAAAGTTGTATAAAAAATTTTTTTGAAAAACAATACAATCGTATAATGAGTAGCTACTGTTAAAATACATATTCAAAAAAAAAAAAAAATCTAATAAAATATTTAAAATTTGCGGAAAATCCACATTGGGGGGGTTAAAATATAACTCATTGTTTTTATCTGTATTGTTTAATAATTATTTTAATTTTTGTATAATTTTGTGTTATAATTTATTTATGAGTTTTTAAATTTAAATGAGAAATATAACTGATTTTTTATATCATATATAAAAATTCTCTTTCAGATGTTTGATTAAAACCAACATTTTCCTAATTTAAAATGTATCTAATAACTTTTATGACTATTGTATAATTTTTATAATTTTTCAATTCATTTCCCATCACATACATTTTATAGATTTATAAAACGTTGTATATAATAGGGATATGGTTATATTGATTAAAATCGTAAATTATAATATTATTGTGAGTGTAGTTGTTGTAATGCACTTAGTATTTATGTCTATTTAAATGCGAGCTGCAGATGTGCACAAATGAATGGTACCACTGATTACAAAAATGAAAAACACGATGAATTTTTGCACAGGAATTTTTTTACTTAAAAAATAATTTTAAACTATTTTTATAAAATCTATTTGTTCACATGTTTGCATCAAATGTTTGGTTTCGTCGACACATTTGTCTTGAACAATAATTGTTTTTATTTTTTCATGAATTACCTATACATAAGCAATTTTATATACGATTTTTCGAAAATAAAAAAATTGTACCAAGTGAACAGAATAATTGAATAATCCAAAAATTCAAATCATTTATTAAAAATTGTATTACTATTTTTGTTTAATATAATAATTTTATTGTAAAAGCAATTAGATTGCGTTTGAAATAGATAATAACAGATATTATGAATTATGAGATTATGATTATAACATTTATTATATTATATGTAATAATATATGAATATACTGTGTATTTATCAATTTTAATAAAATCAAAAATAGTTATTATTGCTCATTTACAGTTATTCAAAATAAATTTGAATTATTAAAATAGAAAGGTTAGTGGGTACCTACCACTCTGCTGTTCACTATTATAAGTTCGTTAAATTTGAATTTAATTGTATAATATCATTACAGTATATGAAAAAAGGTTGTGAGCGGAAACGGTCTATTAGTCTATTTTATCAAGTGATATGTTTGTTAAATGTAGCTTATTAAAGTAATTTATTTTACTTTTAGTATTATAGTAGGATGAAATAATTTTTCCGAAAATATTAAATTTATCATATTATTGTTTATTAGTATTTAATTATTTTAATAATATTTATTTGTAGTATATCATATCAACTTATATAACTCAATATTTAATAATATATTTCTGTAAATTCCGTAAAACAGTAAAAATAGATTAAAAATGATATTATGAATAGTGAAATGTTTACAGGATTTTTAATTTTAATTGTAAATGCAGATAAAATAAAAAAAATTGCCATTATATTTTTAATATTTTAATAAAGTTATAAAGGTAGAAGAACGATTTACGTGGAATATGAATGTATTCAATGTATAAATTTTTGAACATTTTTTTTTCGGTAATTTTTGATATAAAAACTAAAAAAATTCAAATATTTCTCATGCCTATAATTAGCTCAAATAGAGTCAATTCTTGTGAAATTTCGTATAACATTTTAATTCAAGTTTTATTAATAAATAATAAAATCGTTTTTGTATACACATCGCTGTTACAGTGACTCACTCGATCTCTATATTGTACAGCAGAGCGATACCTATCTGCTCACCTTTTTTGTATAAAATATTATTTCGTCCTGTAAGTTTGCATAATTTTAACATAGATAATATACTCATCTTTAAATTTTATTGCGAGTCAATGTACTTTAAATGGCCTAAACGTTAACAATTAAATATTGGTTTCGCTGAGGCGAAAAACGCAAACTTATGTTGTAGCTACGTTAATTATATTGCACATCCCGCACTCAGATGTAAACGGTTTTAGCGTTTTACATAATATAACGTTTTAGATTTTAATTATTATCACCTAATATTCTAATGCAATAATGCATACATTTACGCATTTTAATATAATTTTTAGGATTATTATTGTTAACATTTTTTTTGTTTTTGCTCTTATATTTACTGTATTATGTTTAATGATAATGAGTATTTGAGTAGGTACATATTTTAATGTTATAATAGGCTTTGTGTCGACAATAATTAACGAATACGTTCATTGTTTTCTCATTTTCTCACGACAATTTTAATTGTCAATAAATTATCGGTAATTGACAATAATTATTTTCAAAGTTAGATAATAGATTAATTCATTATAATATTCTAATAAGTTAAAAGTACAAAACTGGAACTCTGTTGAACCTCAACAGTGACGTGTTATGGGTTAGTAAGACGGAATCAAAATTGGTAATATACATTTCGTTCGGCAGAATCCGTTTTATGTTGTTAGCTTTTATATTGGACTAAATTTACCTATTACCAAACTTAAAGGTAAGAATAATATCCAGGTCATCTCATCATAAGACATAAACTTTTATTGCCGTTATAATTTTAAAACGAATTATAGTTATATAAAATATTATAACTTTAAAATTCTCACAACTCACTTTCAAATTATGACAATAATAAAAACCTATGCGATGGCTAAGATAATATTATCTTTACCTTTTGATGATAGGTAAGTTTACTTTAATATTAAAGATAGCAACATGAAATGGAGATTTGGCTGAACGCAAATTTGCTGTGTTGTATCTATGTATGTATGACGGAAACATCACACGCGGGCGTGGCCCGTAGCGTCCTTTTATATCAACATATTTTTTACAAACAGGTATTTATTCATAAATGAGTGTTGTCAATAAAACTTATGTTAGACATTTTGATGAATTTGATGAAATTTTCTTATTTAATTTGAATTGACGTGTTTTTTCACCGACTTAAATTTATGTAAGCATAAAACACTTCCTGGAAGGTTTTATTAATTGTGATTATTTCATGATAATTAAAAATTGTTTATGGATATTTAAACGTGTGCGTTGCAGTTCAAATTTTTATTGGTATATACATTTATCCAAATATGTCTTTTTCATCGAAGATAAATATTAGATAACTTAAACAATATTTATCTCGGTAAAATAGTACACATGAAGTTATTCAGTGGCATATTTATGGGGGTGGGAGATCAAGGGGATAAATCCTCCCCCCATAGGCTGTATACAGTATACACACGAATAATTATAGTCATTATATTATTTAAAAAATTATTATTATTATTTTTTTTTATCAATAATTGATTAAATTTGCAAGAATTAATATATTATAATATATTGTACAATATTCTCATTGGTATTTTCATTTATAAAGTCATATCCTCCTCCCATGACAAAAACCTAAAAACGTCACTGAAATTATTATCTACATAATCTTGTAATTGAAATTTTTCATCTAAAATAATAAACGTTATCAATAATTAATGAGTTTAATAGCATTTGAAGATATTTTTCTATAATGTTTTTAATTTTTTGTTCAAAATTAAATGTTCTTTTGTTTTAATTCTTCCCCTTACTTCGGCCTCAAATTGTGTACATACCGATGACTTATCTTTAATTAAAACAAAATGGTTTTCGTGACGTAGTGGTATTGCCATTTACCACATAAATAATATTTATCATAATATTATGTTTCTTGTAAAGAAATTAACTTTATATGTTTATAATACAATTTAGAATATATAATCATATTCATGTTGTTATTATTATTAATTATTATTATCTGTTTTCTACAAATTTTTTCCATTTACAATCGGGAACCTGTTTTCAAGCTACAGCGATAGAAAACACATACAGACGTACTAAAATCATATTAGTCGACCGGTTTTGAACAAAGCAAATTGGAGGTGGGATTTGCAACTGCTGATGAGCATAATATGAATGTTAATAATTTATCAAATTACCTTATTTTATTAGTATCTCTTTTGGCGTTCTACTGATCGCTCGTTCATTGTTCATACCTATCGTACAAGGTACAAATCAATTAAGTCAGACTAACTACGCTTGATTATTGTGGTAGGTGGCAGTTTATTCAACAATAAACACAAACGTCAGAACAATAGAAGTCGTCAACAAATCAATAGGTAATAACTGTACACTTTTTTTCTTGTAAACTATTTGTAAGGGCTTTTTATTTCTACACAAATTAATTTTTCTATAATATTATTTAAAAATATAAATAACTAGTATTACTATAATATAACTTTAATTTACTTTTTTGCTTATCAAATTAATTTTACCTTGAAATCGTGACCTAGACCTTCAGTATCGATTCTCACTATTTTAATAAATAACTTGCAGGTATAAATCAGAGGCGTAATTTAACTTTTTTGGAGACGGCGTTTTGTATAGCTGGTAAATTATTATAAAAATGAAAAATATATAATCCCCTCCACTTCATAGTTTTTTTGTAGTTAATAGGTATCTGCTGGTGTCTACCAATCGAGTTTTTATTTTATTATATTATATATTTAAGTAATGTAACCACTAAGTAGAATCTACTAGTGGTGATTGTAAATTTGTAATACATTTATTTTTCTCGAAAACAATTTTTAAACCATTTTAACATTAAATAAATAAATTTTGTCCCGCTATTCGTTAGGTTATTAATGAAGGCAATACTATTTTGTCATAAAATTTTACTAGAAAATTTGTGAATTGAAGTTTAATTTATATAAATACTTATACGTAAGTATTTTTTATGTGTATCTACCTAATTAAATAAACTAAAAATGAAATTAATTAATTTTAATTCAACTTTAATAAAATTATAGATATTTGATTTTATTTGTAATAAATATTAAGTAATAAACTGTATAGATGGATAATAAATACTTAGTATTGATTATTTTTAAGATACCTTCTTTTAATTTTTAAGTGACGTAAATAATAAAATTAAAATTATAAGTAGTATCTGAAAAGCTTGTAAAATACAATACCATACACGTGACTAAATGATACCAATGGTAGGTAGGCAAATTTCGAAAAAAATTATTTTTAAATAAAATTGGAAAAAAGTTATTAACAAACATAACCGGTGATGTATCACGTACCTTAATGTTAATTAATTATTATTTTTTCATATTAGTTTATTGTTTTTTACTATATGGTCGATAAGATATCTATAAATTAATCTATACAATTTGGAAAATTATAGTAATTAATTTCTTATACGTCATTATGCTATGATTGGTAGGTAAATTTCAATTTTTTAATACGTCACGTGGCATATCCGTATGTATTTTAATTAAAGTAATATGAATAATATAACGAACAAATTGCAATTTAATTTTGTTGCCATTTTTATATTATTATGTTTTTGTATAACCAAATTCATTACCTATCATGGTATACTTTTAAAATTTTTAGGGTAGATTAAAAATATTATATTTCATTATCTCCATTTAGAAGGTTGTTCAATAAAACCAGGAAGCAAATACAAATATTAAAATAATAATAATTGTTATTTTATATACAAAAATTAATTTACATATATATATATATATATATATATATAAGACTATAAGTCATTGATTGATTTTATGTGTATATTATTGACGATTGGTAATCATCAATGGTACCTAATCAGTTTGACCTATTGTAATGCTGTTAGGACACTATTTTTAGCCTTATATATTTATATTGTTTAATTATATAGGTATAAATGATACTAAATTAATGAAAAACATTATAGGGATTACACAGCTGACGCGAAGTCTTGGCCGCGTATATTTTATATTGTAAACATAGATTGCCTTCGATCAGAAGTAATCAATGTCCATGAATATATTTATCACGTAATAACAGTCAGAAGTGCAACATAATCAAGAAGTAATCACCGAAGGTAATAGTTATACATTACACTTTAACACAGATTATTGTATGTTATAAATGTATTCAATTTTGTTTTATATTTTTATATTTAGGCACACGGTTAGATTTTCTTTATTGAACATGGACAAATGTAAATTTATTATTTGTATAGTATTCGTGTTCACTCAGGAGATTGGTAGAAGAGTGGAGGCACAATCCAATAATGGTGAGTTTTACTTCTTAGTTGCATAATATTATTGTTTATTAATTTATTTTTATAAAAGGCAATGCGTGTGTGGTTGTAGTTTATACAGTCAAAAAATACTTGATCAATTTTAACGAAAACTTAAGTGATTTTTCTTAGAGATACTAGAGCATTGTAGAGATAAGTTTTCACATCTATTAAGTGGTGCTGAGGGGTTTTTTTATAATTTTTTTGAATACATGCCATTTAAGCAATTACACGTCTTGTTAACAATAATTACATGTGTTGTATTTTAAAATTATTTATTTTTACGGTCGGAGTTACGTTCAAACTTATTAGCGCATGCAGTTATTATACTTAAATCAAATGTCGTAACGCGTTAAATGTAATTCAATGGATTGTTCACCAGTTTCGGATTTAATCTAAAACATGCTAGCTTTGTAATAATAGTAATTATAGTATCATTATTTTGAGTAAAGTATGATAAATTAAACAATAAAATACATTAGACTATTAAAGAAAAAAAGAGGTATAAAGGGCTATAGTCTTTTTAAAATTCAAATTATTATTTATAAATCAATAAAAATACTTAAATGTCAATATTTTTTAAAGATTCGAAGAATTTTTGAGTTATTTATGTAATTTTTTTAAATTATTAGTTAAATTGTTACGTAATTTAAATTTTTATTTAATTGATTATTAGGTTTAAGAACCTAGGGTTAACATTTTGTTATTCTAACTAGTAACTAGAAGCAAAACAGTTTTCATTAGTTACCTAAATATCTGAAGATATTATTTAAATTTGTTAAATTTTATCAACGTTTAAATTCAAAAAAAAAAAAAAAAAAAAATGATGCAATAATATATTCTCTTGATGAGCTTAATAGTTAGCTTTATGGAAAACCTCGGAGTAACCTCTTTCTTTGTGAATATACTAATTTCACCGTGTTAATTTTAAAGATAGAATCAAAAATAATGGGGACTTAGGTAACCACTAATTACTCTACTTTATTATAGGTGTCGACCGTACTTTGTGATTGAGTAAATCATTGTAATTTATGTGTTATACTCGAATTCAACAAAGGAGGTCTGTTAGTCTATATTATTATGTATATTTTATTCATTTTAGTTAAATTATAGTAATTTCAAAAATATTATTTATAAAGACTGAATACTTTTTGTCATTTAATATATTATTAATTTCTATACTCATAAACGATTCAACTAAAATAAATATTTGGATTAATTTTAAGTGATGTAAAGGTACTGCAAACCTATTTACATCTTTTAACTATATGTGGTATGTTGATATCGAATTAATAGTTCTTTACGATTATTATTGTATTTCGAATATTATTTCAGGTTCTTTAAGCTGATGAAAAAGTAAACTTTACCATTTTTAAACAATTATAAGTTAACTATAATTATTATTATTAAGTAAACATCCTTAATTAAATAATAATAAGTATTGAAAGCTCGTTGAATTTAAGCAATTTTACCATTACTTATTTGTTATGATAAAAATATTATTGTATGAATAATATACTTTATTGTTTGTATTTTTAGAATGTTTTACGCCAGATGATCTCAACGGATCTTGTATCAACATAAAATCATGTCCACCGTTACGAACATTATTAGAAACTCAAAGAAAAAATTCTACTATTGTCAACTTTCTTAGAAATTCCATGTGTGGATATGAGGGTAAAGATCCAAAGGTATGTTGTCCATTGGATAGAGAGCCTTCCAACCAGCCTGATACTACTCAAAGGATGACTACTTCAAGACCTGATTCGTCCGGATCAACAGTTTACGAAACAGTTTCGTCGATCAAATTGCCTTCTCAAAAGACTTGTGGTCGGTCAAATTCTAGTCACGTTCGAATAGTTGGAGGAAATCCTGCTGAATTAGGTATACGTTTGAAAAAAATTTAATTGTTTTTAATTTTTGTAAAATTCTACAAAATATATAGTGGTTTTTATTAAATTTATTAAATTACTTGTAGAATTAAAAATATTGATTTTTCAATACGTATTTAGGTGCTTGGCCCTGGATGACAGCACTTGGGTATCGAGATCTCAATAGACCAAATTCCGATTATCAGTGGTTGTGTGGAGGTACTTTGGTATCAGAAAGATACGTAATAACCGCTGCTCACTGCACTGTCGGTATTGGAAATCGAAAATTGTAAGTGTTTTTAATAATGTGCTCTTCTAGTCTATAAATTAGTTTAAAATTCTTTCTTTTTGTTTGCATAATTTGACTTGGTGATAAGTATCATATTACGATTATAATATTTTAATGACGAGAGTATAATATGTTAAAAAAAGAAAGATTTTATATAGGCATTTGGTGGATTTGATATTACTCACATGAAAATGTATTTACTATTGCTGTTCATGTCAAAATACACACGTTGACAAGTATTTACTGATATAAATATCTTATAATTTTTACGTGTGGCCATTGATTAGATTATTTTGTATTACAAAGAAAACACCGACTAAACTTTGTGATATACTGTTTCATCAGTTACCCTATTATCACTTTGTATTCAGATTAAAAGTGTTAGTATGTTTGGGTAATACATGTGTTTTTTATCGTCATTTCTATGTAAAAAATTAAAAACTCTTTTAAGCAAATACCTTTAAATGTTTCATTAAAAAATATGTTCTATAAGTGAATATTTTAATTATAAACGTTCATTTTTTTGAAATATTTTTACGTAATTCATTACACTTTTTTTTAAACAATATAACTATTTTATTTTTTAACTGATATTTTTTCCATTAAAAAAAAAAAAAAAAAATTAAAAATAAAGACTTAAAGTACTTACAAATTTTCAGTTATGAGTTGAGCAATGAGATTGATTTTACAATGATGTGTTTTTTATTTTTATGTTTTTCATCACTTTTAAGGGCAGTGTAAGGAAAAATGCTTCAAGTTACAATTCTAAGTGTGGTTTTTAGAAGAAAATTAGATTTTGTTAGTACTTTAGAGCATCAAATATAAACTATACTTAGTACTTTTGAAATAACTGAAGAAAAACATTAAGAAAAAGATAAACCTTCAAGCAAAATCAAGATTTAAAATTTTTAATTATTTTAGTTTTTTCTATTTATATTATACTGTTGAACTGATCGCCGAATCAAAAAGCATAGAAATTGTATTTTAACGATTTTTCATATGTTTTCATTATAATTATTTAAAAATAATTAACAAATATAGTTATTCTTTTTATTTTTAAGTCGTCTAAAGTTTAAATTCAAATTGTATACAAAAATTAAATCGAGTTATTTTTCAATGAAGAGGTACAATTACCTAACATTTACTGTATAGTATCTTCAGTTACCTACTTATTCATTTCATATTTCTTTTTTTCTGAGTATTTAAATATTAAATTTCGAACGATTAACAAGTAGTTTAAAATAGTTACTTGATTTTAAACACGATTACAACAAATAAAATATATTCACTATTCAGAATAAATAAATTTCAAGCAGTGAATTGATTCTATGATCTAATATTATAAATAGTATCAATGTTTAATTGTAGACTATTTTTAAAGGTATTTTTATAAACTGATAATAAAAATTTTTTATGATTAATAATATCAAATATTGTAGCTTTAAACCATTTATTTTTTCAGAGCTGTTGCACATTTAGGTGATTTGAACTTAGATCCTTCCGTGGATGATGGATCTCAACCAATAGATATTCCAATTTCACGTGTAATGACACATGAACGGTATAACGCACAAGAATACACTAATGACATTGCATTATTAAAATTAGAAAATAGTGTTAGATTCAATCGTAAGTATTTTCAATATTTACTAATTATTTAGGTAATATTTAAGAAAATATATTTTTTAATACTGTATCATATATACTCTGCCAACGTCGACCCCTCTGACGGCCGTCTCCTTTGCATTTTTTAATTTAATATTAATTGTAACTTTTAAATATATAAAACGCACTAAATATGTTTTACTAGTATATATTATACATTTATACATACACGTTGAGTGTATTTATTTATTTAAGACGTATCTGTATTATAAATATGTACAGGGACATAGATATTATCATTCAGCCATCAAAAATATATTTTATAAATATTGTTGTCTTTATTTACAAATACTTAGGTTCTCTTGTCTTTAGTACCTATGTATTAGTATATTACATAAAATTTACTTAATAAATCATATATTACTTATAGTATATTCTTATTTTTTTTTAGAATATATTCAACCTATTTGTTTACCCATCTTGTCGCATCATAGAGCTAACAAGTTAGTTAAATCTGTACCGTTTGTTGCTGGATGGGGTGCCACGTCATTTCGTAAGTAAATAAATATATACATACAGAAAAAATTTAAAGTATACTCGTATTATAAATATTTTGATACATTGTGTTTTATTTATACTATATTTATTGTGTAGGGGGACCTAGTTCTACTGCTTTAATGGAAATTCAGATACCTGTGTTAGATAATACAGAGTGTAAACGAGCATTTGCTAACAAAAAAGCCGTTATCGATGACAGAGTTTTATGTGCTGGATTTTTAACAGGAGGAAAAGACGCTTGTCAGGTACTGATTAAAATCATTTTATTATGTTGTACTATGTATCTGTTATATATTTTTAATTTCTATGGTTATTTAGGGAGATTCCGGAGGTCCCTTGATGTGGCCAAGTGGTAATCAATATTATTTAGTGGGTGTTGTGTCTTTTGGATTTAAATGTGCTGAACCAGGTTATCCAGGTGTATATTCTAGGGTGTCATCATTTGTTGAATGGATCGCAGATAATATAAACTATAGTTAAATTTAATTAAAATTTATGTTGCTTAATATGTATTTTACTTAAGAACGAAACGAATAACAGACAACTCCGTGCAATCGATTATTTTTTTTATACTTTTACAATACATTTATAATTATTCAGATAACTATTTAATATTAATCTTAATTGTTATAAAAAATGTATTTAGTAATTAAAAATTATATTATTTGTATTCAAATTATAAATTATTATTATCTTGGAATATAATGTTAAACACAAGTTTTTTACGTTAAAATGAAATGAATATCTCTTACTTATATTATTTACTATGATAAATTGGGGTTTGTGATTTATTGATTTTGGTATTTAAGTGAAATAATTTATTCTTATATATATTTATTAGTATTTACTAGTTGATAATACTTAAATACTCTGTAACTGATATTGTGTTAAATGGAAAAATAGCTAATGCAAAATGAATACAATTTTCATGAGTAATCGGTTCTATCAAAATTCATATTTTTATTTGATGTCTATGTATTTGTTAAGAAGCAGATACTAAAGAGTAAAGAGTTAAATAGGTACATACGACTTTACGAGTAAACAGAGTAATGTTTGTCTTAAGCGCTGTGAACTGTGGTAAAAAAAAAAACTTATTTTAATCAAATGGGAATCTACTTTTTTATTGTAAATTATTATGCAATTTATTTTTTTTAAAACTGATTTTTATAAATTAAAATTTAAACTAGTTAATTTTGAGTTTTTAAAATGTATTTACATTGGATAATAATCCTTAAAACTGGTTTTACATATCTATGAAATAAATGTAATATTACATTTAGATAGATTAATATAAATTATTTTTATTTTAAAATTATCATAACTCTTTAATTCACAAAGTTAATTAACTCAAAAACTTCTTGTATAAATTTTCGCCAGGGTACATTAATATTAAAAAAAAAAACACCCACTTATCAATAATTGAGGTATAGAAAAAAAAGTATTTCTCTATGAAAAATATAATTTATTGTTGTAATAGAGAACATTGTTCGTTTTTTTAAGGATGTGTTGAGGATGAGCATCCTTATATTCAGTTGTATATATTTGTCTATAAGTATCTCTTTCTCAACACGTGATACATATATTATTATATTAGACAATATTATTATCTCTTAACTTAATAGCTTATAAATTATACAATAGGTACACTGTGAATATCACTCTGTATATGACCGGGCAAACGGCCAAAACTAATTGTGTTTATAATTAGTCATACAACATATTTTATTGGATTGGACAGTGGACAACAGAAATATCCCCACCAATTTACAGCACAAATTATTGTTATACATATACATCACAGTATTATAGAAATGTACACGCACGACACACATGTATTTGATTCTGCAGAGGCAGTTTATTACTATAACTAGTATTCTTTGTCGTTGCTGTATTAAATAAATACGATTGAAACACTAATATACGAGTGAATAAAAAACGGTCAGTCGTTCGCCGACTATCACGTGCATTGTTTGTCCTATCGTCATTCTAACCAGTCCCGGCGCTAACTACAAAATAATAATATTATGTCTGTGTTATTAATGTTTTGGTATTTTGTATGTTTCGTTACAGTCATTTTGTTATTGATCGCTCTCCGTACGTGTAGGAAACCAAAAAACTATCCACCAGGTAAAGTCTAAATTTTCAGAGTTATTTTTGTTTGAATAGTGATGACTTGCTTTAAAATTAGCTAATACAGTTAGTGTGTAGGTGAGTATCCTATATTTTAAACCATGGCAGTGTTAAAATAATTAAATATTTATTGGCTATTGGAATTCGGTATGCAATAATTCAAATGGATATATCGTAAAAAAGTTTCTTAATACTTTCAAAACCGTTTTACAAAGAGAAAAAAATCATTATGAAATTAAGTATTAACGAATCATAAATTATAGTTGAAAATATAATACGATTAAAAATTTTGCGAATTACGTATAATATAACAATTACAATTTTTCTTTTTAAATGTACTCATTTATTTTCCACATTTTGAATACTGTTACGTATTAATACGCTTTTATAAAATAAATGGTGGGAGATTTTCCCATCATATACGACGTGAACCTCGAAATTACGTTATTTTATATTTTATTGTTTCACGTGATAAACATATTTTAGTATTTCACATTATTATACTTAAGTTACCTATTAAATAATACATACGAATAATATAATATATATTGTATATAAAAAATTTGATACATTATTATAATCATAGAGTTTTGAAGTTATTCATTTTCTGATAAATGGTTGCATAGTGTTTAGGATAGTTATCACGATAATAATAATATAATATTTATAAATAATAATTATTATTATAATATTATAAATGGTTTACTTGGGTTTTTATTAGTATGGTTAAATCATAACATGAAATTATTTAGTCTTATCGTCATTATTCATAATTGTAACAAAACAATACACTATAATATCGTATATTTTTGTACATACTTATGTAATTATGGTATATAACATATAAGTAGCATATATTTAGTATGCACCTAACTAATTAAAAATGTTTTGATATTGTACTCTATAATTACGTTTTTTCAGTATTTATTACATGCACATAACTTACCTATTATAATATCTACTAAATCTAATAGAATCCTACGAAAAAAATTAGTTAAAGTATTATAATATAATAGAATGTTTGTTTAAATCACAGTGTTATTCATACACTGATTAAAATGTTAATGATGCTTAACATTTGTTGTATTTAATATTTTTTTTTATACATATTAAACAAATGCATTCAAGAGTATTCAAGTATTTAAATACGTTAAAATTGTTAACATCATTGCTATTATTTTTCCTCTATTCAGTTATTGTTGGTATAAGTAGTATCCAGTTAGACTATAGGAATATCTAAGCACAGAAATGGATCAAAAGTCTGAAAATGGTTTGTTCGAAATTTGAAGGTCATATCGTGATAAAACTGTGTGTTCAAAAACATGAAATTCCGTTTTTTCGACGATTTTATGACCAAAATTATGTAATAAATATATGTAAAACTATGCAATCTGGGACTAACACTTAGACAATTTTGTTAAAACTAGTTTGTCCACTTATATATACAGAGTGATTCAAAATTAATTTTTAACCATTTTATCGTATAACTATTTATGATACCTACAGAAAAATTGTTAATACGAAAGATATTTATTAAGAAATATCTAAAATGATAAATAATTTTTACACTTTTTTATAATATTTTAGCGTAGGTTTAACATTAGATATTAAAACGGAAACTTATACTTTTTTTTACATTTATAACGTGAAGAATTTTTTCGAAGTATTACAGTGTGCAAAAATCGAAATTTAAACGAGTAGTTATGATACTTACAAGTATTTTATGTTTAGATGAGCGGAGTGGAGTGATACTGGATACCACGCAAAATGTTGGTCTACTACTTCATTCATTTAAACTTTAAATATTTATCACTTATAAATTACTCGTCTGAATTTCGTTTATTTTACATTATAATTCTTCGAAGAAAATTCTTCGTGATATTATTGCAAAAAAGTATAGGTTCTTATTTTGAATTTCTTAAGTGAAAAAATATAAATATAACTAATCATATGAAATATTTATAAATGAAAAACTTTGGTTCTAAACATATTTCCTTTAGGTACTATGCATATTTTATACTTTAAATAAAATGGCTGTAATATATTATATTTTAAATAATCATGTATATAAATAAAGTTGTAGTGTATACGATATCGGATATTCAAATGTGTATATTACAATTATGAATATATGGGCGTACAAAATAAAAAAATGAGATTATTTATTATGTTTTAATATCTATGTATTTAAAAAAGACTTATTTTTAATGATATATTTTTTTTCAAACCATTTAATTAGAATATTATTACACACTTGTTGCACAAACATTCAACTTCAAATATATTTTTTGATTTTACAATTTTTTACAGTTATTTATGTGATTATATTTCTGAGCAAGTATTTTAAAAGTTTTTAAGTTAAAAACTATTTTATCTATATTTATACTAGGTATAGTGTAATAAAACGAGCTTCAATTAGAATAGTTTTTTTTTTTTTTTTTTTCATAAGAGTATTATAATTTATAACTTTTTTCACATTAAGAATAACAAATTTACCTGTTCATAAATTAATTTAAGTATTAAAAATAGACATTTGTTTTTATACTCAGACTAAAGTATAATATTAATATTATTATCATTATAATATTTAAAACACCCATGAAATAATTAATTAATATATTTTTTAATGGGATTTGAATTATAAATTTTCAAATTTTTTTATACTATTTTAGGAGGATACTGTGAAAATGTAAATTTTTGGTTTTAAACGATAACTTTTGTTTTTTATTGTAAATTATTTAGCGGATAATTTTTTTTTAAATGTCAAAACATTATGATCAAATTTCTAACGAGTTATTTTTGAATTATACAATTTCGTGTATTAAGGATAATAGTTTCATGATTATGGGTTTGGAAGATATAGAAGTAGATTTCGAAATTTTAATAATTAATATTAATCCATCATAATTTATAATTCATAAAAATTGTCAATGTATAATAAGTACTAGATCCAATATTAAATCTATTTATTATTTTTTAACACCATTTTTATCTTAATATTTTGAAGTCATATTATTTATTTTATTATATATATATTTATTCACTATTATCCTTAATATAGATATTTTAATGACTAGAAAACTACTCGTTCAAATTTTGATTTAAACACATCAACAATTTCAAAACAATTAGTTACTAACTAAATAATTTACAGTAAAAATCGGGGTACTCATTAAAAAAAAAAAAAAAAAAAAAAAAAAACAAGAATTTTGTGTTGTCGCAGATTCCGTTATCCCTTAGTTATACAAAAACGTTTAAGAATTTTAAAATATGGTTTTTAAATATTTTTAAGTACTCCAAAAATCAAAATTTGAAATAATTAATTACTAAAGGAAATAAATGAAGATAAGATGCTTAGTGGATCTTCTTGTCTATAAGTATTAAGTATATATATGTTTAACGATATATATTAACGTTTGTTTTGTATTTTATGTATATTTAGGGCCAGTGTGGATACCATTTATGGGAAATACATATCAATTAGCTAAATTGTCGTCTATCAAAAATGGTCAATATTTAGCTTTCGAAGAGCTCCGTCAAAGATATAACTCTGATATCATTGGGTTGAAATTAGGACGTGAATACGTTGTTGTTTTGTTTGGAAATGATCTATTGAAGAAAACTTTAGTTGGAGACGAATTTCAAGGACGGCCTGATAATTTTTTTATGAGACTCCGGACAATGGGTAAACGTAGAGGTAAATACACAATTACATTAAATGTTGAACTGAGAAAGTATTTTATACCTCGTTGAAAAATTTACAAATATAATATGAAAATAAAATAGGTGGTTAAAACAATAATGTTGAAACAATAATTTTAGGTTCTAGTAATAACGAATAAGTGATGCCATTAATTTTGATTTTTATATTTGCATTTTTTTTAAATATTTTTCATAAATTACCTTAAATCTTCTTATTTTTATAGGTACTCATTATGAAATTTATGTTATTTTATGGCATAGAAAAACATAAAATAATTTAAGTGTTATCTAAAACGAGATGTTGACAAAGATCTTGTGATCCTGTCGGAATTTTTCTTTTGAAATATTATCAATACTAATGTGTTAAGACAGGGGTCGGCAATCTTTTTGGTGTCGAGGGCTAAAAAATAATAAAAAAATTTTTTACAGGCCATACACCTTATTTTTTTTTTTTTATTTAAAGGTTCAAGTTTTAAACAAAGTTTAATTTAATTTATTTAAGTTTCATTATTGTTTGGCACCTATATTAATTTAACATGGTATATATTAACAAAGTTAGGTTATTATTGTTATTAACTAACATAATATGATACTCCATATTTAAATTATAAATAAATAGAAATTGCTATAGGAGCCTCCTAATTTATTCTATTTGTTCATCATAAACATGGTATGCATTAAAACAGGTATAACGATGACTGATGGAGATACTTGGAAAATACACAGATCGTTTGCGGTCAGACACTTGAAGTTACTTGGTTTAGGACAAAGAAGGGTGGACGAATTGATTTATGATGAATATCAACTCATGGTACAACGTCTAGTCGATGAGACGGAAAGTGTAACGCCGACCTTACACTTGCAATCAGCTGTAATGAATGTTTTATGGGAGTTGACAGCGGGCACTAAGTTTGAAGACCCTAAGTTGTTAATGTTGATGAAGAAACGAAGTTCAGCATTCGATATGGCTGGTGGATTGCTTAACCAGATGCCGTGGTTACGATATTTGGCACCTACCAGGATGGGTTACTCACTCATAACTGATATCAATCAGCAAATTTATTCAATAATATCTGTAAGATTTAAAATCATTATTTTCTTACAATTTATAATTTTCCATACGACTGAAATCTAACAGACATTTATGATACTATATTATTTTGTTTTGTCTAACCGCGTTTTACATAGTATGACACTTGAGTGTTTTATTTTTTAAATGAAATACATGACTGTACAAACAATTTTTCCTGTATTGATTAATTAAAATAGGTGTGCTATAAATATAAAGATTGTAATTTAGAGGTATTTAATATTAGGTACTTACCTAATATACTATCTTATATTTGTGATTCACCGATGTTAAGTACTCTCTTCCCTAGATAGAATAAAATTTCTTAAAAATGACAACATTTATTTTTATTTTTTTTTTCTGATAAATTATTTTATACATTTTAACCTATATAATACATACAATATTGTATAATATATAAATTTAATGTAGAACAATATTGAGGAGCACAAGAGAACTTTAACTGACACTACCAGAGATTTTATTGATGCATATTTACATCAAATGAAAAAAGAAGAAATAGACAATACAATGTTTACTGGTTAGTAATATAATATTATTAAAATTGTATAATTAATTTTTTGTATTAAAGTATATATTTGACTTAGAGTATTATAATTTATAAATATAAGTACTTATTCAAATACATTTAAATAATTTTGTCTTTTTCCATAATTTGTGTTTTAACGTCCACGGCATTTAAGTAAAATCTATTAAAACGTAATTTTATTATAATTGTATACAAATAAAAATTAATATTATACAAGCTCGAAATGTCATGTAACAAATAACAATAATAATAAAATAATATAATTTATTTGGTATTATTATTTATAGATATTAGAATAGAAATTCTAATACATTTTAAAACGTACGCATTCATTATTTCAGAAGAACAATTGGTAGCTGTTTGTTTGGATTTATTTTTTGCTGGATCATCAACAATTAGTGGTACATTAGATTTTGCTATATTGGCTATGGCTCGATGGCCAGATGTCCAGGCTAAAGTTCGATCTATTCTGGACGAGATCCAACCTCCGGGAACGTACATTACAGCCGAACAAATTCTTAAGTAAAATAAATTGAATGGACATTTTTGTATTATTTATCAACTATAATTGTTTTTGTATGAAATCTATTTTTTAATTTTAGAAATCGATACGTGGAAGCGGTGCTATTAGAGACGAAGAGACTTAATCATGTAACACCAATTATAGGTCCTAGACGTGTGTTAAGAAATACAAATCTTAATGGATATAGTATACCTAAGGTATAATGTTTTTAAATGCTTATGTTTAATCATAATCAGTTTAGTATTACCCTAGTGGAGCATTTTTAAACAATAGTTTCCCTATTATGAACATTTTATTTGCATAAATTATACCTTTTTCATGAAATATTAAATTTTTTTGGTATTTTGATTTTGAAACTTTGTGAATAACATTTTAAGTGATTTAAAACAAATATTATAAAGTTTTAATTTTTATTCATAGAATACAACAATTTTGATGAGTTTATATTCATTACACCACGATCAGTTGAAATGGGATGATCCTGAAGTTTTTCGACCAGAGAGGTTTATGGACACAGACGGAAAACTCAATACAATCGGAGATTTGTATTTTTTTGGATTTGGTAAATAGTTTAATTTATTTACGCTATGATATAAGTATGCTTTACAATAATTTCATTATTTATTTATATGTAGGAAAGAGACGATGTCCTGGTGAAGCGTTAGCACAGCGGTTTGTTAACTTAGTATTTGCCAATTTAATTCATGATTTTGTAATTGAAATAGACCAGTTATCCGATGGAGTAAATTGTGGTATACTTATGACACCAAAACCTTACAAAATAAAATTGTCTAAAAGAAAATAAACATCTTTAGTGTATTTTGTTTTTATTATTATTTTCTAATTTCCATGAATAACATTACTAATTTCTAACACAAAGGAATGGTCAAATTTGATGCAGATTTTTAAAATTATTATTGAAAAAATGTTATATATAATTAAATATATTATTATGAGCGATTGACGGTGAAATTTTGACAATGCCATAAAGTAATCTTTTGATATTACTTAAAAAATATTCATCGTAGAAATTATTAATATTTCACTATTACTTAAATAATCAATAGTTATATATTTATAATTTATTTTTTTTAAATATATAGATTAATTTTAGGTTATTAATAGATATTAGAAATTTTCAAATAGTTTTAGTTTTTTACACAAAAAAATATGTAGAGTTTTTAAAAAATCTTGAAAATTAAATACAAGATCACATATAAATTATTCTTGTAATAATTTAAAAAAATTAAAAATACTAACAATGTAACTAAAATTGTTAAAATCAAGATATTTTGCAAATAGTTTTGTACTTAAAAATGTAAAAAACATCTAATTTAAAAAGTTAAATTTTGTAAGACGTAATAAATATTCCTTGTATTAAGTTGTTCTTATAAAAACATACGAACCTCAAAAATATATATGCAAAAATTTTTATGGTTATTTCAAATTAAATTATCTATAAAATTGTATTTTTAAACGAACAATAATAATTTTAGTTATTTTTTTATAAAAATTAAAAACATATTATTCGTACCTGTCCACCTAGGTACTTAAAATAATAAAATATTCGTCGCTACGTATATTATTATTATTTAATTAATCGTTATCATCTTTATTTAAAAATAACTTATATGTAAATTAAGTAATGGAAAATAGCTATCTAATAGCAATAGATATAAACATATAATAAAATATCCTTTTAAATATACATCAATTGATCGTCTTTGCTCGAATCGATTTTTATTGTACTTAATGATTTGTCATTAAATTAAAATTTAATACATTCATTTTATTACAATAACCCACTCAATATCAAGGCACAATAAATATCTATACAGCTCTAGTTTATTTTATACAAAAGAGAAAGCTGAGAAAGATATTCCATAGCATCCCTTACCCTGAGGGGATATTGTATAAAACGTACCATTTCATTTTATTTCTATCTCTTTTGGCGTTTTACTGATCACTCGTTCATTGTTCATACTTATCATACAAGGTACAAATCAATTAAGTCAGACCAGCTACACTTGATTATTGTAGTAGATGGCAATTTATTCAAATTTAAACAGTATAACATAAGAATAATATAAGTCATCAACAAATCAACAGGTAATAATCGTACATTTTTATCATATAAATTATTTTTACGTTTTTTTTATTTCTATACAAATTTATTTGTCTATAATATTATTTAAAAATATAAATAAAAATTAATATTATTGTTATATAACTATAATTTACTTGTCTGCTTATCAATCTAATTTTACCTTGAAATGACCTAGATTTTTAATATAATTTTTTTCATTATCATTCTTTTAATAAATAATTTGCAGGTATAACCAGAGGTGTAATTAAACTTTCGGAGACGCCGTTTAGTATAGCTAGTCAATTTTAATATTAACTAGCCAATTATAAAAATGAAAAATATATTATTATCCCATCAATTTCATAGTTTTTTTTTTATAGTTGGTAGGTATTTTAAGTTGTTATCACATTTTTTTAAAGACAATCAACAAATATAATCATGGTTTTTATATTTTATAAGTCATCTAAAGTTTAAAATAAATTTTTATGTATAAATTAAATCGAGTTATTCTTCAATGAAGGGGAAAATCTACTTATTAATTGTATACTTATTTTTACTGAGAATTTGTTATTGAATTTTGAATTCTCTTAGTTGATATTGTAAAGTATAAATATATATTATTAAAATAACTTTATTATTAATAATCTAATAAATCCAATATTTTTTATAAAATTATATCAGCTTATTATAAATATTAAAATTAAAATATATGACTTTAACATCTTTATAAAAAACATTTCATGAAATGTACTAAGTTCCATAGACTGACATACTGTCTTCGTTCTGAATCATTTTTCGAGTACCTACAATGATATATGGTTGAATTCAAATTGAACACAACCCATAACAATGATTCATACGCCTAATAATGTATAACAATTTGTTACCTACTGGCTACTGCCAATATTTTTATTAATGTATTTGTCTATATTGTTTATTAATATTTGTATTAACGTGTCCACTATATTTCACAATAATCTACTCTCCCGTAAAAAATTAGAGGTTTCTAGTAAATTTAAAATTATCCATTAATAGACTACTGTAACCATAACCCATAACTTGTACTAAAATATTATCGAGTTAGATGGCTTAAGGAGAATAAGTGTAATTTCGGAACTATTACCTATAATATTATAATATTATGATAATATTTATTTGTCGAGACTCTTGTCATTAATCGTCACGGACCACGGGTTTCATCGTAAAAACAAAATAAAAATATTTTTCAAAAACACTAAAAAATAGTACAACATAATGAAACCCACTTACAATACGATGGTATAACTACACGGTATCACTCGGCAAAATTTATGCATTGTATAATATGTATAATATTTACTAACATAATACTAACACACAACACATATATGTCCCCATCATGTTGACGTGTTTGTGTGTGTATTTTTACAGCATAATACCATACGAGTTTACAATATTATATTGCCGATATAAATATAGGTACAATAATAATAATAACAATATATACAAAAACGTCACGCAGTAGTTTCGTAATTCTATTGAATCACATAGGGCACACACAAAACACATACCGTGTCGGCGACGTTAACATAATAAAGGTCTTCGTGGGGAAATTGAAAACACTCGAAATAACAATAATAAAGCCACACCACCACCTTGTGTATATATATATTATATTATTGAATGTTATAATATACGTGAATAATATAATAATATAAATAATGAAATATATATGCGTGAAAATTGTTGACGATTTTGAGGGGGTGGGTGGTCAGGGCTGTTGATGGAGTAGCTGTAATAATAATAATAATAATAATAATAATAATAATAATAATAATAATAACAATAACAGCGCACGCGCGCTCCTCTTTCGATCATACATGATACGTATAATGTAGGGATTTTCTGCGTATTCGGTCGGACAAGAGGCGTTTGAAAATAAATACGCACGCCACTCGTCCACTGTATTAAATTAAAGTATCAATATGCCGATATTGTAGTTGTTGACCTACTCGAACATGATTTCAGGGGTTCGGTATATTCCGTGTAATTATAATGCGCGAGGGTGGCGCGCAGACATCGCACATTGCAGATATATAAGGCATGCGTGCGCGTGTGTGTTACCGAGAATGGTGGCGAGAGAGAAGTAAAAGCGAAGAGGAGAGTGTGAACCGGACGATTTATGATGTAAGCTCGATACTTGTTATAACACTATAAACATATTATAATATGCGCGACCCTTCTCCCATGTCGCTGTGTGTGCACAATATTTTCCACGTACTATGTCGCAAGTAGTGGTATATAGGTGTGTGGCGGCGAGGGCACGGGATTTGGTTCAAAATTTTCCGATACACATGATTGTGCACCTATACGCGTTATACTTATATACCTACCAGTATAATGCGTAATATAATATTGTGTATTGTGTGTTATTGCCATTATTGCGTACAATGGTCGAAAGTTTTCGATGGTCGCCCGCGGAATAAAGATGATAAATAATCATAATTAAACGCCGCCACACTGCAGGCGGCGACACCGGCCCGATGACTATTCGTCGGATAATCTGCGCGGGAAGCGCGTTGTTTATTGCAGTTGCAACACTACTTAAGAACGCAAGTCGTGTATACGTGGTATAATATATTGTTCTATTTCTATATTATAGGTGCCGATTTCCAACGGGGAACAACTACCGACACACAAAATATCTCGTTTCAAACTTCTATATTCACAACAATATAGCGTATTATTAAACCGTGTAATATACGTATCACGTATGAATAATATTGTGTATTATGCGTGTAGCGCATAAGATACAATATTATTACGTTTGAATATATTATCATTATGATGCAGTATAAAGACGTATAAACTGATTATACGGTGAGGGGGGGGGGGGGGGGGAGAATGGAAAAGTAGATGTACTGCTCTGCTGTATGGCCAGCTGATGTACGGTTGTACATGTCGAATCTGGTGTTTATCTCGTCATCGAGTAAGTAACTACTGTAATACGTCATGTGTGTTAAATATTTATTTCTATGACATACGAAATATGATTCTGAACAAAGACGTTTTGTCAGTCTACATTTACTAAGTATATTTTATGATACACTTGTATTGCTACACTGTAGTAATTTAATTTGCTATTAGTTTAGTATTATTGTAATTTGTAGGCTGAATTAATTTTTGCTGAAAACATTGCATTTTTAAAACTGTAAACACCCACGAATAATATTTTTAAATTACAACGATATAATTAAAATCATAATTATTCGTTTAAATATCCGATTTCGCCCACATTGAATTTAAAATGTTCATAAAAAAAAAAAAAAAAAAATTATGTATGTACATTTTTATGTCGGTTACAGTATGAGCTACTTGTAAGAAACCCTTCATTTAAATTATTTTAAATTATTTTAAATCACCTAAAATAGTGACCTTAATTCGGCACTTAATGGCTAATGTACAGCATAGTGGAATCTTTTTACTTACTTTTTTGTTTGATCTAATTTTTTTTTTTTTTTTTTTAATTTATCTTGGAAATCGAATCCAGTCGGATCTTTTCGCTTATCAAGAACTATTTGCTGGAAAATTAAAAGAAATTAAGGACAAGTCTGACCGAGTTTTAACATGAATCATTCTTTAGTGTGAATTCATCGTTATTAATTTAAAATTAAAAAACTCAACATACCACTATTCTATTATATGAATAGAGTGAAGAGAAAAACTTCAAAATTCATATAGTCAGCTCGGTTATG